AGCCTTCACAGAGTGCAGGGGAGTCTAGGGGATGTAATAGGACCTGTCTAATCAGGTAACCTCTGGCACAAGTGGGCTGCCAAGTTCCATGCAGTGGTGGCATCAAAACACAGCCAGCCCCCTGCACCCTGGACTAAGCAGTCCGGCTTTGTACCTGCCTCTCAGTGAAGCATTGTCTTTGAAGATGCTTTATTCCCCGCCACCCCCACCCCACGTCAGCTGGAGGAGGGATTGCCTCCTCCTCATTTGGTCATTATCTTCCTTTTTTAACTTTACATTTTAAAAGGGAGATAAAAGGTAGCTCTACAGATGTAGTATTTTCCTCTTTTAATTACATTTATTTTTCAACCTAGTTCTGGGAGGCAGTCTGGTGCCCTGAAAGGACCACGCACAAAGGTAGAATCATAGATTGTCTGAGATGGCAGGGGTCTCAGGATCAGCTGCAGGTGGATTCTATTCCAGATCTTTTATTGTACAGACGAGGAAACTGAGGTCCAGGGATGGGAAGGGATGGCTCCCGGATACGGAGCCAATGAGTCACGGAGCTGTTACCAGCATCCAGGCTTCTGTCTCTTGGTCTGTGCTCTTTCTACCAAACCATGAGTCCACAGAGGCAAGCTCCTGTCTAGCTGGGGCTGTGTCACCCAATGACTGATCCGGTACCTTCCCTTCCCTGAGAGGACACTATTCCCTGCCAGCCTCTCAGAAAAGATACAGGAAGAGCTTTGTACACTGTCAAGCGCTGTACTTGTATCAGGCTGGGCTGTGTGCTCAGGACTTCATGGGCTCAGCAACACACTCTGGGGGTCAGGAAGGAGTGGGGATCAATTGGGCCTCGATGGTTGCCAGCAAGGGTGTCCAGGGACTAGGAAAGCATTTTGCTTCCTCTAACAAACTCTTAGAAATCTGAGGCCCCGAGGAAAGGTTCTAGATGGCAGTTCTCCAAGAACCAGCTCTGGAGTCCCAGCCCCCACTAGACCCCTGGGCTCCTGGAACTCTGGTTTGGTGCCTGATTATCAGGAGTCAAAGAAATGTCTACTGCATAGAAAGAAACATTTAGCTTCCAAAGCTCGTAAGCACCTCACACTTTTTCTCCCTGTCCACCCTCCCCTCCCTCTCCACCGGACACTGTAAGTTCCCACCTCATCCACTGACATGCACGGACTTTCCTGCCTCCACCCTCTTGCTATACTTTGTCCTCATCCTAGAATGGAATGCCCTTTGCTCCCATTGGTTCTTGTCAGAATCCTTCTCATCTTTCAAGACCTACTTGCCAACTACTGCTTTGGTGAAGCTTTTCTTGACATTCCCTTGTTGGCCCCCTAAACTAAAATTGATCCCTCCACTCCTGATTCTCTTTGTACCATCTTGTTTGCTGCATTTTAAGGCGCTTACCATTTTGTGTATTATAGTTATTTTGGGTATCTGCCCAGCTCCTCTCTTCAAGATTCTAAATTCCCTGGGGGGAGCAATTCCATTTCACCCATCACTAGATTTTTCAGCACCTAAAACTAATGATTGCTAATGATTATGGAATGTGTATTTTGTGCCAGATCCTGTGTTTATTTCTCTAACTGAATGTCTCACTTGAATCTTACCAACGAGTCAAAAGCATTGTAATTCTAAACTTACAGAGGAGGAAATGGGGGCTTATAGACATCATTGTCTAAGAACCCACAACTACCACGTGGCAGAGCTGGGATTTGAACCCAAGTCTGTCTGGTTCCAAAGTCCATACTCTTAGCCACGGAGCTTTATGGACTGTTCAGTGAGTGTTCAGTGAGTGCTCAGTGAGCATCTGTTAAATTATCATTGGAAAATGTTGGGGTCAATGGTGTAGACACTCCCCAACAAAAGCCAACCACAAATGTCCAGTTTGACACTTGAATGCTTTTTATGATGTATGTCCTCCTTTGCTATATCTACCTTCTTACTTCTATGTGGCAAAAGTGGAGACTAAGGTCAGTTTGCCTTCTGAGAGTTCATGCAAGTATGAGATCTGACAAGGTAGAGCCGAATCGGGTCAACATTCTCCTGAGTGTGTTAGAGGCGTCAAGGGAAGACGGGAAGTTGGTTTTGCAAATGGCAGGTCTTACTGTTGCTGGCTCTGCAGCTGGGTGAGGGGGAGAGTTGGTGGTGTGGGGTGTCTGAGATGGACTGAAGGATGACTAGGAAGGGCTCTGCCCTGGCAACCCCATCGGTGACCCACGCGCCCAGGTCCTGCACCTCCTTCCCCATCTACCTGTGTTCTTTCAACTGAAGTCAGAGTTGGGAAGGCAGGTTGAGGGAGGATGAAGGAGGAAGAGGGCAGAGCAGGCAGGGGGAAGGATGTGGAGCTGAGGGTGGGTTATCTGGAGCCGGTTGCCCACCTAAAGGCAACAGGAGGCAGCAGGGAAGTTCCCAAAGGTTAGGAGCACCCAGGCCCCACCCCCTCACACTGTCTCAGTGTCACGGGAGCATCTTCTGGGAGCCAGATATGGGGTGGAATGATCCAGGCTGCTACAGGAAAGCAGTCAGACCCTCCAACCCCAGGCAGAGGCCCTGGCCATGCTCAGCCCTCCACGCCGATTGCCCTCAGGTCTCAGATACCCCTGGCCCTGCCTCTTCCTCTCCTGCTGGCGCTCAGGGGGGCACGGGGCCTCTAGCATGGCTGGCAGGTCACTGGGGAGAGTGAGGCAGAGGGGGAAGGGGGCGTTTGTGACAGAAAGGGGGTGTGAGGAAAGGGTCACCTGAGGCAGCACACGCGGGAGAGGGTTTGGAGGCCCCGAGTGTGCAGAGAGCGGGTGGGGGCACCGCTGGAAAGCAGCCGCCGGGGGAGGGCTGTGCGAGGCAGGGGGCGCCCAGTGAGAAGCGAGGAGAGGCTGTGTCACAGGCAGTGGAGGAGGGAGCTGCAGTGAGTGAGAAAACATGACCCGGAGGTGTTTGTGAGATGCAGCAGATGTAGGGAAGGCGGTGTGGGTGCTTTACTACGGAAGGAAGCAGAGCAGAGTGGCAAAGCAGCCGAAATGAGGACGCGGCAGGGGGGAGGAAGGAACGAGGTCCAGGTTCTGCCCACAGGTGATGAGGAACACGAGACTCCCATCACCCCTGGGGAGGAGGGGCCAGCGGTCACCACCACCGGGAACGCGTGTGTGCGCATGCGTCATTTTGTGTTGTACGTGTTCACGAGGCTGCCTTGGATTTACACAATGTGCTTTCATGGCTCCTGCGTGGGTTGGGAAGTGAGGATGGCACAGAAGAATGCAGGCCCGGAGAGGGGAGGCGACTTGCCCAGGACCCCCTAGGACTTCACGGACAGCCTGATGTGAACCGGGTCTCCTCGCACACAGCCCACCTCCTGGCCACCGCGTCTCCCACACCCATGCCCGCCTCATTGCCAGGCCACACAGGCACAGCCACACCTGCTCAGTGGAATCCCCTAACTTAGAGAAAAAGAAGCAAAGACAGAAAAAAAAAAAAAGGACCTGCGAGTTAGGGCTCTCTCTCCTGCTGACAGAGGGGAGAGATATGGATCAAACACCAAGGATAGTTCCGCGAGGCGCCTACCATTCCTCTCCCCTCACGCAGGCAGAATTAGCAAAGTTCTCCCTGGCTGAGGGATGTAGATTGATTGCCTGGGTTTATTAAGGACAAAGTGCTTTTTGATAGTGTGAGGGAAGCCGCTCCCCAGGGCGGGGATTCCGGCGCCTGGAGCTCCCGGAGCATCGATCGATCGCCGGGGCTTCCCTGTCTTGTGCTGAGCTGAACACGGGTTTGGCAAGCGATAAAGAAGCTATGATTCTTAAAGGAAGGGACTCTGGGGAGATGCCGGGCAGACCGCACACCGGGCGCTGCTCTCAGCAGCCTTTCCTACATGGACCCTGGAGGGTCTCCTGTTAAAAACAAAATTGGTGGTGGAATTTCTGACGGCCCACTGGGTGCCAGGTACCCCCTGGCTGCGTTACACATGTCATCTGACTTGCTCTTGCTACAAAACATAACAGGTAAGGTGATCTTGTGACTTTCATTTTTGTGCATCAGGGAAATGAGGTACAGCAAGGCCACGTGATCCGGTACTTTACACAGGTCACAGGAATCATGTCACAGTGCCCAGATTCACAGTCAGCTTGGTCAGATGCTTTAACTCAGGCTCTTACTGCTGTTCCCCATGGCCCGTGGTCCATTTCATAACAGAGGGCCAGACGGATAGTGTCCTGACATGATTCTTGGGGGCCCATTATACAGACCCCCAAGAGCATAAGGGAATAGGCTCGCCCGGTAGGAACATCTGTGTGTGACTTAACAGAATTCAGGGATATTCCAGACTTCCAAGGCCACTGATGCTGGCTCTGTGTCTGGAGATTTAGAAGCCAAAGACACCAAGTTATAGCGAGTTTTGTTGCTCTTTTGGCTTCTCTGAAGCTTCTTTCCCTTTCCAGTCAGTACCTGTGTTATTCATGACAATTCTGCGAGCTGAGTGGGCTGGGAAGGAACCTCTAACACAGGTGAGAAAAGGAACCTGGGGACGTGAAGTCACTTGTCCAAAGCCAGAGAGCTCATCAGGTGGGTCTGGAATTGGAACCCAGGTTTTCCGCCCACAGACCTTTCTCCTACATTGTGTATTGTCTCCTCCTTTCTAAACCACAGACAGGTTATACACAAGCACGTGCACATTGAATAGCAGCAATAAACTGTCTGATATGACTATTCAGACGGAATTGCCAACCTACAGAGCCAAGTAACTGCGATGTCACATGATACTTTGGTACAACAAATCATGAGCTTACCATGACTGCAGTGCTGTGAGCTTGGGTCATTCAGTGTGAGGTCATTGTTTTAGATGAGAGTGCTTTTGAATCCCTCACTGAAGGTTCCCAAGCCCACCTCCGTCTAGGAATTCTTCCTGCCTCCCCTTCAAAGAGGGAACAATGGGAGCCAAGTGGCGAGGCGGGGTGAGGACAGAGACGGACCTTGGCCTATGACTGGGGGAGCCGGGAGGCTGGAACGGGGGCAGAACTCACTCTTAACGGTGAGGAACATGGACTTGCTGATGTCGGTGCCCACGCCGTTGCTGGCCTGGCAGAGGTAGTAGCCGATGTCCTCCTCCAGGACGTGGCGGATCAGCAGCGAGCTGTTGGGCAGGATCTGAATGCGGCCGGTGAGGGGCACTGGGTGGTACTGCTGGGGGTTCCCGCTCCCTGAAACGAGGTGGCAGTTAGGAGGGCTGGTGTCTAGGTGAGGGGTAAGCAAGCTGGGGTGGACTGGAGTACCCCAAGGAATGGCTCTGATACCTTTCCCTTGCTGATCTAGGGCCATTTTGTAGCATCTCCAAAGTGCTGTGGGCTCACACAGTTCACATGTCCTGGGCAATAGGAAAGATCCTCTCAGAGGCCTGACCCTGCCCCAGATCTGAGGTAGGGAGATGGAGTTGGGGGCCTCAGCTCAATGTCTGTCTTAGCACTAGCTTCCTTTGGGGTGAGTTCCTTGGAGAAGAAGAAAGAGTTGTCTTTGGGCCACTTAGCAGTAGACAGAGGGACGATGGAGCCCACAGATGGCAGTTTTCTGGCCTTAGGAGTCAGGCCTGGGAAAGAGGCCAGCTATCCTACAACGGGGGGCTTTGGGTACCTCCTCCAGGTCCCCCAGAGTCGGCCATGGACATGGTCTCAGAGAAGAGGTTGGCCCGGGGCTTAGTCAGACACCAAATGCATCCTTGGGATGAAGTTGGGTTCCACAAAAGATCAAGATCCCAGAATAGTTTGACTGGTGAGAAACATGGGCCAATGAAACTCTGGGACCCCAGGATGGGGTGAGGAGAGTTGGGGAGGAATAGAGAGAGTGGATTATATTGAGTTCTAGGGCTGGAGAGGGGGAGAGGTCAACCTATGGGGACAAGAGGAAATTTGGATATAGCATGACAGCTGTCCCTGGTCCACAGACCCTAGGGGTGGCTGAGGATAACCTCCAGTTCAGGTACAGCCTGGGGTCCCCTTAGAGCTCAGAACCTAGGTCTAGGAATTGTGGGTAGGGGCCAGGCCCAAGTCACATTAGCATCCTCCCCTACCCATCCCTGGCCGTACTTAGAGATGCTGGCTGGCAGGGGCTTACCCTTGGCATGCTTCCACATGACCTTGGGTGGTGGGTAGCCGTCCACCGAGCAGTTGAGCACACCAGCTTTGCCATAGATGCCATCCTGGTTGTTGGGCTGCACCACAAATCGAGGGGGCACTGCAGAAAGAGAGAAGGTGGGGAAGAACAGGTCATCTCGGCCTCTGATAGGTTTTCTTCGGCTTTGGACAACTTCCATTCAACGTCAGCCCTGCCTGGACCATTCTAAAGTTGGGAGCAGGCACCTCTGAAACCCAAGATGTTGAGGGCTTTTGCCAGTAGCATTGGGTTGGGAGTTGGGAATTCTGAGTCCAATTCTGACTTCACCAGTGACCAACTGAGCTGGTGTTATCCCCTATCAGGGCCTCGGTTTCCAGGTCTGGAGAGTAAGAGGTCTGAACCACTTGATCTTTAAGGCACGTGCCAGAGCCAACTTTGCCAGAGCCCATCATTCAAACCTGAACTCTAGAGAGGCCGTTTTTAGCAGCAGACAGAGCTGGACCCTCCCTTCCCCACGGCCGCTGGCCTGTCTCCACTCACCGCGCACGATGAGCTGGCGCTCCCTGCTCACGGTGGCCGCTGCATTGCTGGCGATGCACGTGTAGTTGCCATTGTGCTTGAGGGAGACGCTGGAGATCTGCAGGGAGCTCATGAATTCCTTGCTCTCGATGGTCACGCCCGAGCCTGAGATGATCACCTGTCCGTCTTTCCTCCAGGTGATACGGATGGGCATGTCCCCCGAGGACACCACGCAGGGGATGTAGAGCAGCTGGCCGATGGAGGCAGGTGGGAACTCGAAGGGCTGGATTAGAGGGGGCACTGGGAAGGCAAGGGGAGGGCTGCTGTCAGGCCCCCACTTGCCCCAGCCTGGCTGACAGCATGCCCTCACCTGCCTGGCCTTTGGGCTCCTCCCAACACTGTGGTGGGTTGTGAATAGAGTTCCCTGGGTCCTGGTGCCTGTTCTCCTATACATGCAGTCTCTTGGGGTGCCCTGCCATTGTTCTCTGGTTCCCATCCCTCTGCCTTCCCAGGCCTGGACCCACTGTTTCTGTTCAGGGCTTGGGCTGGCCTGCCATAATCGTGACTTTCAGATCTGTCCTGAAACTTGAATGGTGATGACTCATGTGCTTCTTGACTCCCGTCTGTTTTCTGACACTGTTCAGCTTTTACCGCGACTTCCCAGCCGTTCCCCGGCGCCCCTGTGCCCAATGTCCTATCCCAGAGCTGCATCTCCTAGCTGTTTGGGGGCCTGGAATGGACAGAGATGATGTGCCCCAGATGCTGAGGCTGTCCATACCCCACAGCTGCTCATCTAAAGCCAGAGTGCTGGACCCTGGTCTCCTCCTGTGGAGGTCCTGTCACCCACCCCAGCCCTTTCCATTGTCATCACGGGTTCGGACGGGTGAGTGGAAGCTCCCATCACTGGTTGTTTCAGTTGCTTTATACACACCACCTCACTGGGTCCTACCACCAAAAATGTGATGTGAGCTTAACTATTTTCATTTTACAGATGAGAAAACTGAGGTTCAGAGCAGAAAAGTAATTTGCCTTAGATCACCCAGGTTTTAAGAGGGGACAGTGGGATTTGAAACCTGATCTGGTCTCCAAGTCCAAGTGCATTGCCTTATGCTGCCTGGTTGCCTCTGAGAAAGCCCCACACGTGCCCAGACCAGAGACCCTTTTGTCTCATAAACTCACCTGCAAGGCCTCCCTCCCCCTAGAGATTCATCGGCCCTCCCCTCTCCTGCCACCCACATCTCAGCCCCTGGAGGGGCCTGTCTGGAATCTGAGTGGCTGTGAGAGGGGTCCTCCTTTCTCAGCTCTGGCTAGAGCATCAGCCATTATCTTCATGATAACTCAATTAGGCCACAGCCACTTCCCCAGCAAGAGGGGGGAGAAGAGACAGAAGGAGACAGACAATTAGCTTAACAAGGATGAGCACCCAGTAGATGCGATCTCCTTTCTGCAGTCAAATAATTAAATTACAGGACAGTCCACAGTCCTCCAGCCTTCTCCCAGGCACCAGCCCCACCCCTCCCTCCTAGCAAGCCTGCTACTCCCCCCACCCAGAGCGGCCACAGCAGGTGATGAACCCAGAGGGAAAAAGGATGAGTGACATCATATGATGCCCAAGGCTCTCCCTGCACCCCAAGGATTTTCAGGGCTCAGTAGGGAGCTGCCCCTGGGAAGCGGCCAGGTGTGGACAAGGCAAAACCCTTGACAGCTCTTTGGATCTATGGGAAAGTTCCTGACCAAGAGCTCTGGCTCCAGAGGAAGTGATGTTTAGGTGGATGTTGCCCCCATGACCTATGAGATGAGAGCCATATGCCTGCGCAGGGCCCTTAACTGACCTCAGTGTCATCTCCACCCCACCCTTCACTTTGGCTGTGGATGTGAATACCCACAGCTCCAGACTTCAGCCCAGGCCGGTGGACACAACCGGTCCCACCACATGGGCTTCACTGTGGGACCCAACCCAGGTCTTAAGTCCAGCCAGACTTTCTGGGGCTCTGGTCACTGTCCGGATCTCCCCATCCCAATCTCTGGCTGCCACTACTCCCTGGGTTAGGGCCTTGTCCCCAGGATTCTGAGTGGTTTGCAGGGCCTTGGATATCTCCGGATAGATGTCTCTGGAACCTTGACTCTAGTAATGGCCCATTGCTCATTGCTGTGATTTCCCAGAGATTCCTTGTTGGGCTCGCGGAGCCTCCCATTTCCCCCTCTTTGGGGCACTTATATCAGATTGAGTCCTCTGGCCTCCTTGGACTTTTTTGATGGAATTGTTGCAGATCTGTCACCCAGTTTGTCTCCCTAGGCTTAGCAGAATCAATTCTGGTCCAGTCTTCCCACAGAGACCCAAAGCTAAGGCCCAGCAGGACTGACGGGAAACTCCTCTTCATCCTTCCAGACCCTGCTCCAGTACCACCTCTTCTGTGAAGCCTGCCCTCTTCCTGCACAGCCCTGCAGCTCCTGGATCACACTTTGATCAAGGCCCTTATCACACACCAGTGGGGTAACTGCATCACCACCTTCCCTGTGTGCCTGGGAGCTCCTATAGGGCAGTAACCAGGACTTATTTACCTGGCAAATTGCAGGAGCCCAGTAAAGCTTGTGGGATGTGTAAATGAATAAGTATATGTCTGGATAGCATTTCCTGGGTTGATCTTAGAAGTTCACCTATGAGGTGGGCAAGGGGCAGGGAGAGCACAGGTGGGGGTTCATCCAGAAGAAGAAGGAGCTCTATGCTGTTCTTCAAGATGCTGTATTTATGCCACAGAATTTTGGAGCTGGGAGCTTGTCCGTTGGCTCTTCCTGGGGGTCAGGCCCTTGCTGTCCCAGCACCAGAGCCAGCTCCTTTGATTTAAGAGCCCTGTGGACAAGGGGAGAGTCACAGCAGAGACAAGGGACTGTGGAGGGGAAGGTGCCGGCAGAGCACGGAGCCAGGAGCTGCGTAGGGAGGAGAGGGAGGAGGGATTGTCAAGCCTGGAGGGCCATGCCCCAGGGATGGATGGTCAAGTACTGCATTTCCATAGAGGACAGAACAAGCAGAGAACAAGTGGAGATTGAAATGAGGCAGGAAGATTTAGCTCAGGTGAGGGGAAGATTGGCTCTCTCAGTAAGGAGGGATTCAGATAATGGAAAAGTTACTAAGGCAGGTTAATTCATTAATTAACTAATTCATCTAATATTTATGAAATGCCTGCTCCACGAAGGCGTTATGCTCTGTGTCAGCTGGGGAAAGTAGAAGCAGACTTAAAACATGGCTAGAACTCCCAGAAGCTTAGCATTTGCTCGGGAAGGTGAGACATTCCCTCTGTGGTCATTGGACAAGCACGACCGGAACACATAGATGCTGAACTCAGAGCAGAGAGAGGTGTCATCTGGTTGGGTGACCATAGCTGCATGGAGGAGGTGGCATTTGGACTGAGAGTTAAAGGACATACATGCCTTAAAGTAATACATGGAGTGAGAGAGCGGGAAAAGCCTGAACCAAGAGGCAGAGGCCAATCGGGGGCTGTCATTCTTTTCTGGTCTTCTGCAATTTGAGCGAAGGAGAGAGTAGCTGGCATCCGTCCTAGGGGGTCAGACACTGACCTGGGCTGGCCGGAGCTCCCTAGTGCGCTGCTGTCCTGTGGGAGGCAGATGAGCAGACAATCCCCAGAGGTCCAAGGCAGGCTCCTTGTTCCCCTCTCCCTCCCTCCTGCTACGGGTTGATGCGGCAGGTGTGGTGCAGTGAGGGGATAAGTGCCCCCTAGAAACTCTTCAGGGACCAGAGCTGCTCACACAATTTCTCGGCTCCAGGCTGGCATTCCAACAACCCCATAACTCCAGGCACACGAGGACAGCCACTTGTTTGGGGGTGTTGCATAGAAGAGGGCATGCTGATCACCAGCTCGGCCCATAAACACTTCATGGTGTCTCTCTTGATCTCTCTTTGAGACTGAACCTTTTTATTTATTGCACCTATTTAGCAGAGAATGGACACTGTGCACAGTTGGAGCTTCTCTGCTTGTGGAGCATGGAGATGGGAAAAGACTTTGTTATCCATGAGTCATGTGAGCAAGCTGCCTCCTCCCCATCACCCTGCCTCTGCCCCTGAGCCTCAGTTTCCTCATCTGCAAAACGGAGGAGTTGGACCAAGTAATCTCTAAAGGCTGGTGCCAATTTTCCAGTTGTAACAAGTCTAATATTTTAGGAATAATAATAACTCACTTCAGTTTCTTTTATGCAACCCTCTCTTCTCGGGAAGACCTTCCCTGACCACCCTGTTTAAAACTGCAAACCACTCTCCCTTCCCCTTGGTGCTCTGATCCCCGCTCCCTATTTGACATGAGACCTCTTTCATGTATTTCGTGTATTAACCATTTCCCCTCTAGAATGTAAGTTCCCCAAGGGCAGGAATTTTTGTCTGCCTTGAGCACAGCTGTGTTCATAGAAGAGGGCCTGGGATCTAGCAGGTGCGCTACGTCACTGGATGGATAAATAGATGCTTCTTCCTCATCATCCTCGCCTTCGTCATGAGCACGGCCGTCATCGCGAGCCCTGTCTGTCCAGTAAGGAGGATGCTGGCTCCTACGCTCCTGGCTCCTTCTGCTGAGGAACAGGGCTGACGGCAGCAGCATCCTTGCTGCCCTCCCCCGCCCCGTACACCGGGCAATCTGCCCCCGTAGAACCTGTTGCGCCCCCTTCCTGTAGATTCCAGGGGGTTCCTTCCAAACCTCCACCTGTGCCAATGGCAGGCATCTGGCCAGGGGGCTGGCTTTCTCTTAAGCTCCATGACCGTAGAAACCCCCAATCCATTCTCTAGGGTGAAAGGGGGCCTCCTCTGAAGGCTCCAAGCACATAGCAGGGACTTGTGGAGCAGCAAGGAAAGAATGAGTGTCGGGGAGGAGAAAGGGCACTTGGGAGCGGGGGTATATGTGAGTGAGTGAGTGAGTGAGTGAGTGAGCGAGCGAGCGAGCGAGCGTGCGTGCGTGCGTGTGTGCATGTGTGTGTGTGTGTATTCTCTGTTGGCTCTCCATAGGGACCTGGCACTACGTCTGGGTCCTGGCCTCACTGAGTATGGGCACAAAGCACCTCGCACCCTTGACTTGGCTCTGCAGCCTCAGATGTGGGGATGGAGATGTTCCTTCACTGAGCCAAAGCCAAGGAGCCCCAGTTGCAGCCCTGCCTTGTGAGTTAATTAAACATTCAGCCTGCGTGCCCAGAGATGCTTTTATGTTACATTATTTTTCAGCTACAGGGGGCCCTGAAGACACCAAATCTAGGTTGGATTTCTGTGCCTGCCTCTCAGCATCCTGCCAAGGATCTCTCCGGATGCCCAGAGATAAGCACTCTCCTTCCCTGTAGCCTGGCTCTCCCCTGCCGGTCAGTGTCATGCACACCCAAGACCAGGCAGTCCTCAAAACATCCTCATCCTCTCTCCCCTCGGCCCCTCCCACCTTGCTGGGTCACAGCAGGCTCACTTGGGCAATATTTAATAAGGTAGCACCTGCAGCCACCTTTTGCGGCTCAGGAATGTTGCCTCACAGGAGGGTATGGACAGAGGAAACATCTGTACATCTGCAACTGCTGGCAGGCATGTATGTGTGTGTCCAAGTGTGGACGGGCTAATGTGTGTCTCTCGGTTGCATGCACAGGCGTATAGTGCACACAGCGTGTACACGCTCATGTGCTCGGGCACACAGGTCCTGGCACGTGTGTGCATGCATGTGCATGTGTGCCTGCTGTGCTCTGCTTTTCTCAGCTCAGTGTTTGAAAATTCATCAGAAGACAAGCAGTCCCAGAAGGAATGGAGTCAGCAGCGGTTTTTCCAGCTCATGGAGCAGGGTGGGTTTTGCCCTGCCCTGCCCACGAGCTCTGGGTACCCCAGAGACATGGGGGTAGGATTTCCAAATGATCTCAAGCTTCTAGTGCTTCATCCTGCCCCCACTCGCCTTTTCCTACACTCCAGGTCTCTCCTCTGATCCTCTGGGTTGGACACACATCCCAGCCAGGCAGCAGAGAAGGAGTCAAGAGTGCTACTCTTGGGCCCCGTCCCTTTCTGCCCAAGTCAGGGCCCCTTTCCACGCCCAGAGGCACCTCCTCCACCCTCTTCCTGGAGTAGCTCTTAGAACAGCACATCAGCTAATCAAGCAGCGTGCTCATAATCAGCTCTGATGGGTTCTTCTGCAAAAGTGCATTCTAATGAGGTGGAGGGGAGGGAGCCTGGGAAAGAGCGGGGATGATAAATTTGAGCTTTTGGATGGGCAGGGGTACAGGGTCCCAGAGCCCCCATACAAATGTCGCTTCTTGTTTAGGAGAGCAAATGGGTGACTCTACCCCTTCTGGGGCTGGATTTGCAGACCCTGAGGGCAGGAAAGGGGGACATGCATTTACACATGCCTATGCACTGTACACACACACACCCATGCTTTTGAACACCAAGCTCGTGCTGCGTTCCAGGAGACACACGTGCCCAGTGCAGGGGCTCTGCCCTCTGGGATTGCACACACACCCCCTGCTTCCCTCTCCCTGGGCTGGGAGACACTGTCGCTCAGCACAATCACAACAGGCCCAGTGAGTCGCTGAGACGGAATGCATCAGATTCAATTCATTAGGACTGATCTCTCCCTGAATGGGGTTGAATAATTGATGAGCAGAAGCAGCTTTCAGGATGTTCTGCGTACTCTGAGGCTTGCTGGAGCCCTGTTATTTTTTTAATTTTTTTAAGCCAACAAACCCGGCCAAATGCTCGTTGGTGCGGGAGGATGAGGGAATAGAGCAAAGGTTAGATGTTTTAATATGTGATGTTTACACTGTAAACTCTCGGTCCACTGCTTGTAACAGAAATGGATACTGGCGCCCTGTCATGCCAGGAGGAGGGAAGCAGGCTGGGGATGTGGCCTAGGGGTTGTGAGGCTTCTGCTGGCACAAGGCCCCTGGGCTGGGCGGTTCTTAGGCTGAAAGGGGGGCCAGGGTGCCCCTCAGCCTGGCTGGGGTGCAGCAGTGGAGAGGCAGGGAGCCAGGAGCTGTTAGGGTCTCCTCTCCCCTCCCCAGGCCTGCGATGGCCACAGAGACAGCCCCTCCCCCAGTGCTCTGGCTCAAAGCAAGGCTCCCCAGTCAGTCACTCCAACCCAGACGGATGTCTCAGTTTCAGTTCAAGGAACACACACTGTCTGGCACTGTGACGGGTGGTAGGTGCACGAGGAGGCATGTGACACGGCCCTTGTGTGCCAAACAGAGTGAGCCCGGGTGACAAGCAGCAAAGGAGCAAAGCACGGATCGCATCTTTTGCTGCTACCTTCAGTTTTCCCAGCTGTTCTCCTGACAGTTCCACCTGGATGTCCCATCATCACTGTGCGCTTGAAAGGGCCTCAAACAGACACAGCACCTGTCTCCTAAACCCTTCCTTCTCCCCAATTCCCCTCTTCCTGTCCACAAGGAAGGCCTCTACTCCAACTTGTTTCAGGAGTCTGGGAACCCCTGGGGCCTTCCTGTGCCAGGGCCCCTTAACAGGCTGCTTTAGCTCCCCATCCCTGGGCCTCAGGTCCAGCCTAGTTTCCTCTTTGGGCTCAGGCTGTCCCTTAGGGATTTGGAGGAGGTGACACAGATGCTCTGGTGACAGGTGCTCTAAGAGCTCTCAGGGACCCTGTCTCTTCCTGACTCCCTCTCAGGTAGCCCTGGAAGCTCACTCTCTTTATTTTTGAGGTTGAGCTGGGCAGAAGTTCCTCCTCCCAGCCTGCCCTACCCCAGGATCTGGGTCATTCTGAGTTAGAGCCCAGGGTTTGGAGTTAGATCCGGAAAAAAAATTCTGATTCCAAATGACAATTTACTTAAAATGGTAGCTGTCTTAGATAAGTGGGCAGGGGTAGGGCTAAATGGAATGGAGTGTATAGAGCATCAAGCTCAGCGATGGGGTCGAGCGGACCCTCCATCATGCTATCGTCATATGACTGTAATGATCACAGCCTGGCGCAAGAGGCCAAGACGGTGGCTGGAAATCACGGCCTTCCTTCCTCCCACGTGAACCCCAGCCCAAGCCTTCCTGCTTCTGGAGCCTCAGGTTGCAGGGGACAGACCTCTGCATATCCTCCCAATGCCTGAGCCCACTCTGGCTCTTCAGAAAGGGCCATAAGCCCCTTACCCATCATGGCCACCACTGACACAGTGACCTTCCACCCTGGCTGCCCGGCTTTCACTCATCTCTCCTCAGCCGGGCCTGGCAGGTCTGTCCTCTCCATCCTGCCCCCTGAGCAACCAGGCTACCCTGCTCTCACCCACTGTCCAGCCTCCAGGCCTGTCAGTCCCAAAGAGCATGTTGGGGATGGAGCTTCACACCCGCACACAGCCCTGGACGTCGTATTTAGCCATGCATTCGTTTGCTCATTTATATGCATTCATTTGTTTCATCCATGGACATTTACTGGATGGTTGCCAGGTACCAGGCACTGTATTAGGTGCTCCTGCACAAAACATTGACCTCACCCAGGCGAGCATGAAGGGCCTGGAAGGGAGGAGTGTTTCAGGCACCTGGCGGTGCTTTCCAGGCCTCCAGCATCATTCCAGGTCCTTGCCAATCCTGTAAAAGCAGCCTCACCCTGCCAATCGGAGCCCAGAAGGGCGTCTCAGCACCCAGCATGTGCTCCCTGCACCCAGCGCCCTGCTGCTTCCACTCTCCGAGCTCCTGTCCCCTGCCCCTCTACTTGCTGGTCTCTGGCGGGCCCTGCTGAGTTCTGGATGGCTCCATGCTGACATCAGGGGAACAATAAGCCTGCCCTATCTGACCTGGGCCTCTTGCTCAGGTGACCTGACTCCTCTTTGTGTGTCACTGATCCCTCACGTCCCCGGGTCAATGCTGCCTTCACCTGCAGCCCACAGAGCGAACCTGGGTGTAGAGGTTACTCACAGCTGTCTTGTGTCCCCTGCAACCTTCCACCGTGTCCCCTTTTCCCCAGACTCTGAAGCCCTATCTTTCTTGGCCTTCCACTCACTCAGGATTGCTTGCTGCGGCCCGAGCGGCCGGCTGGAGAGAGGCCAGCAATCCTGGGTGACTAGGAGGGCTCTGGTTTGGGGCGGGAGCCTACCTTTGACGGCCACGTGGACACTCTGGCTGATGGAGAGCTGGGGCTGGATGAGGACGCTGCACAGGTACTCCCCTTCGTCCATGCCCTTCTGCACATCCGTCAGCTTGAGGGTCCCGTTCTCAAACACCACCTGGCGGTGGTTGTCAGGCAGCAGCAGGGCATCCTTGTACCACTTGATCGAGTAGTAGGGGTAGCCGATGACCCTGCAGTTGATAAGGGTGTCCCTCCCAGCGACAGCTGTGATGTTCCTCATCGCCCGGATGCTGGGGGGGCCTGGGCAGGAGTCAGGAGGGAGGAGGAGAGGAGGAGCAATGGTGTGGTTAGCCAGGGACAGCCAGACACTGCCCCGTGATGCGCTTCTCAGTTGCTTGGCCTCGGAAACTCTTAAGAGATGGAAATTTGGCAGGGGGTGGGGTGGGAGGGAGGCCTTTTTCACAAGGCTAAATAAAGGCAGAGGCTGGGAATGCTGGGAATGGGGGCACCTGTGGTCTCTCCAGAACACACTGTTATGAACTTCAAATAGTTGCAAACAGACACGTTTGATTCATGCCCGGGGCAAGAATCCATTCCCCTAATGGGTTGGGCTAGAGGAGCCAACTGAAGCCTCACCAAGAAGTGACTGGGATTTGGGAGGGTGAGTCCTCATTTATGAGGAGATGAAGATTTGGGGGTTAAAATGAAAATGTGGAGATTTTGTTATTTTCATTCAATTCGCTCATAATGGTCTTGTACTAAAAAGGATCTTAGACACATTAAATATTTAAGGGACAATAGGAAGGTCTTCATTGGATGAGTTGATGGTTGTCTTTTGACAGGTAAATATGTTGTGCGGGCCTCTGAGAAGTGGATATAAAAGAGAGGCTCTGATCACACTGGCAGAAGGGAGGGAGTGTCATCAGCTAGGTCAGCTGGGCAGACAGCCATGTGGGTGTTGTAAAGGGGGCTCAGAGCCATCAGGCCTGGATAGTGCTGGAGTGGGTACCAGAAACTCTGGCTTCTGGCTCGCCACCCAGTAGATGAGGGGCTGGACCAGGGCAACTCCCACGACCCTGCAGCTCTGTTCCTTTCCAATTCAGAGAGGGCGGGAGGGTGGACAAAGGGAGGCCACATTTGCTGTGGAGCTGGAGACCTGGCACAGGTGAATTTAGCATGAACTGCCCCCCTTGTTCCCGTGGCAACCCAAAGCCCTCCTTGACCAGTGCCCCATCTCTCCCACTCCCCTGTTCCTCTTCTGCTCTTGGATCAGGGCTCACTGGTAGTGTCAGGTGAGGACTAGTCTGACCCCATGGGGCTGCAAAAAGCTTCAGAGGAACCTCTATTCTCACCACAGCAACATTGAAGAACTGAGGCATGGAGATGGCCACTTTGAGGACTCCCTCCCCTGCTTTGGGAGGTACCTGCCTTGGGGTACCCCCACCCAGCCTCAGTCCCCTACTCTTGATGGCTGAGTAAGGGGAGTCAGAGGATGGTGGACTGAGAGATGGTGCCCTGGCTTCTGGCTGCTTACACCTCCTGGAGCATCTGGAGGGCGGCTCAGTGGGAGGACACTGGGATATTGCTTCAGTGGCATCCTTGTCAGAGGGCAAGCCTGGCCCTGCTGCTCCTTCCTTACCCCTGTCCTTGCAAGGCCCTAGTGGGATGTTTAGTGTACCTGGGGCCAGATTGATGGGGAGGAGTGGGAGGGGGGGCAGGACTGTGGGAGGGGTGAAGGGGGGAGGGGTGGGAACGCAAAGGGGGCAAACTGTACCAGACACTCACACACAAGAATGGATGATGTGACTTGCAGAGGGCAGGGGAAAGGGAGACAAAGAGGAGAGAGACCTCTACTAAACTCAAAATGACGATTAATAAGAAGTATTAATCACCACAAGAATAATGGTAACCACAGAGATGGCAAAGGAACTCAAAAGCCTATTCTGATATTTAAATGTAGACAGGCACCTCTTACGTTTATTCGCGCCTGATATTCAGCACTGCCCACCGAGTTCCGTGCGGTGCACCGGTACACGCCCCCGTCGCGGATCTGGGGCCCCGTGACATTCATGTGGCTGATGGTGGTGCCGTCGGACATGGTGTACTGGTTGGTGCGGTGGCTTCCGTCTCGCACGATGGGCTCGTCATCCAGGGCCCAGGTGACAGTGGGGGGCGGGGCGCCCTTGGCCGCGCACATCAGTGAGAACTGCTCCCCGGGGTTGACCACCTTCTCGCTGAAGGACGAGACGATGCGGGGCGTGCCGTCTGCAGGGAGCGAGGAGCCCCCTTCAGGGTCACCGAGCCACAGAGAGACCGTCCCACCAGGCACCCCACCTTGTCAAGGGGAGGAGGCAAAGCAGCGGCCATAATACTAACAAAGAACTTCCGTGTACCTCGATTCATGCACTATCCACAAAACCCTGTTTGGTGCCCATTCCTGCTGCATGTGAATGAAGACTCCTGGATTTGAATCATCCCTCAACCACCTGTAAGCTCTGTGTCTTTGGGGCAAGTTACTTAACCTCTCTGAGTCTTTCCACCTCCCCTCTGTAGAGGATGGAGATAAAAGGGATAACGATTATATCCTCCTGGTACTGATGCTGCGAGGAGGAAATGAATTAATGCATTAGAGATGCTTACACAGCACTTTACAAGTTCTTAATTAATGTTAGCTCCTCTCAACTTTCTCTTTTCTGCTTCTTTCTCCTCCCTTTATTAATAAAGACTTGGAAGCTCAGAGGTTAACTATATGTGGAACCAGGTCCCGACCGGGCTGGACGTCTGGATTTCGATTCCAGCCCTCATTCCAGCAGGAGCAGTGGTGGTGCTGTTGCCCTGTTAGCAAAAGTTTGAGGCTTAAAATTGGAAGCTCCCCAGAGGCAGTGATGGTAGTGGTGGGGATCTGTGATGGGGCTAAAGTCTTGGTTAGCAGAATAACCTTGGATAGGATAACCTGTCCAGTTAATTAACCCTCCCCCAGGGGCCCCCACTTCCCCGCTGGATCATGGGGGAATGTAATCATTAACCCTGACCATCTTCCACAAAGGATAGTTGTAAAGGATTAAAATAGGTGCTAGGTCCTTGAAAAAGTAAAACACAAAAAAAGTAAAAAAAAAGTGAAAGCAAGGCAAATGCAGTGTGGCACTCTCCATCCCACCCGCATTTCACACCCAAATGCTGATGTTAACCCAGGCTGCCAGCCCCTGGCCCTATTTCTGGGGGAGACTCATGTCTCCAACCCAGGGAGAGCCTGGTGCCTGGCAGAGCTGGGACTGCCTGCTGGGGGGTGACGGCCTTTGGCCTCTCCCCTGCCTCTCTCCCCGGCCCTCCCTCTCTGGCTGTCCCTCCCTTCCAGCTCATTGCCCCTCCCACTCTCCGCCCTCCCACAAGCCTCATTTTCCATATTCCCTGGTCTGAACTGGCCAGCCCTGGCTGTCCTCTAAGAGCTCACAATCTCACCTACTGTGAGGGGGCAGCCCCTCAGAGAGAAAATGTGCTGGGTGGTGGGGTGGTCTCCCCTGGGTGGGGAGTAGTTCAGACGGGAGGTCCCCTGAGGTGAAAGGCACCCATTTCCCACTAGTCTGCACCCAGCTGCTGGGCTTCCTCAGTAGGGAGAGAGAGCGGAGATTGGGCAGAACAAGAAGAGGTGGGGGCTGAGAAGGGCAGTTTGCTGGGCACTGGCGAGGGGCGAGGGCTCAGGTTCGATGGGTAGTCACCTCTCACGTCCCACTTCCTGAGGGACGAGGACCCACGGGCTGTAACAGGGAGACTGATGCCCGTGGGGTTTGCCTGGGTTTGGTGTCTTTGTTACCATAGTGAAAAGTCCTTGGAAGGAATAGGATTACGCATGTTTTGGTTTTGGTTTTAGGAGCGACAAAGGAGCTGGGGAACCACTAAATTTGTCGGTAAGGATCGGGCCTTCTCAAACCCCTGCTTCATCTTTGTACAAATAAGAGGTGCCTCCTCTGGGTGGTCGCAGCTTGGTGTAGGGTCATGGCTTGATCAGTGGAGTGAAAGCTGGATTTCAGTCCTCACCCTCTTGGTTGGGCACCTTGTTCAGTGAACAACCTGAACAACCATACACAGAGGTACTGGGTGAGGAAATCTAGGGGGTGGCAGCTTTAAAGGGAGAGAGAAGCAGGAAGAAACCTGGGTTTGTGGTAAGAAACAGGGCCTGCTGTGAAGAGACCCCAGGCTAGGAGAGGATTCAAGAGTTCAGAGGTTCCTGGTAGCCTTCCAGGGCCTCTGGGAGACTGAGAGTCTTTAAGACCCTAAAGAAGACGCTTCTAATAGTGAAATTCTAGTAATTTCGAAGGGCAGAGGCAATCAAGTATGATGGTTAAGAGGCCTGAGTTCAAATTCCAGCCTTGTCCCTTCGCAGAGCTGTGTGACCTTGGGCAGGTGACTGAAGCCTCAGTTTTTTTCCAAACTGCAAAATAGGTAATATAAAAAAAAAAAAAAGGATCCCCACACAAGGCCCTGGGGAGGATTAAATAAGAGCGGGCACCTGCCTGTGTGTTGTGAGTGCTGGATGAATGCCTTCTGTCAGGAGGGCTGGGACGGGGCCTGGGGCAGGGCGCCTCCCCGCCGGGCTGTGGAAGCCCTGAACCCACCCAGCTTCCTCGGCTCACCCTCGAGCACGATGATGGCGAAGTCCTGGGCGGTCTGGGCCTTGCGGGTGGCGAAGCACTGGTAGGCCCCAGAGTGGCTCTTCTGGGCCGAGGTGATGAGCAGGGTCTCGTTGCTGAGCCCACGGATGGAGATGGCCTCGTTGGGCAGCACCAGCTCGGTGTTGCGGTACCAGCGGATGCTGAACTCTGGGGAGCCCATCAGGGTGCAGGAGAGGATGACCGTGCTGCCAATGCCGGTCTTCAGCTTCTTTGGTGTCAGGGTCACATGAAGGGGGTCTGGGCCGGGCCAGGCAGGGGCGAGGTGAGGGGAAATGGGGAGGGAGAAAAAAAGGACTCACTGTGAGTGGAGTGTGGCTTGGGGTGGGCTGTGGTCATAAATGGCCCCAGGACTCAGGAGGCCCTGGTTCTGCCTCCAAGAATCCTTGTCGAGGGTCCTGGGACTAGTGAATTCCTTGCTCTAGGCCTCAGTTAACGCATCTGTTAAATGGCCTGGTCAGGCCAGGAGGTGTCTCTGCACCTCTCGTTCTGATGGCTTGTGCTTTCCTGATGTGGGCCCCTCGCCTGGGCAGGGCTGTGCAGCTCCTTCTGGCTCATGAGGAGGACGAGAGCTTGTCTGGCTCATCGTCTTTGCTGTCACCCCCAGAAACCAGGGAGGCCCCCGTAGCCCAGCCACCTGTCTCCCATACTTATGCAGATCACCAGGCGCCACCTTCTGCTGGTCTGACTTCCTTTAGATGCATCAGTCAACTCCCTACACCGCCCTGTCCTGCTGCAGTACCCCCCTCCGCCTCCCTTTTCCCTGTGTCCCTCCATCAGTCCTCCCCGCTGCAGCCAGCCACTACCCTGCTCGGAACTCCCACGGTGCCCGACTCAGTGGCATTCAACACCATCAAGGCCCTTGTGGACCCGGCCCTCTTCTCAGCTGTTTTCTCTAGGGCAGCAGCCTGCCTGTGGTTCCTGCACACCCAGGGCCTCACCTAGAGTATACTTTGCCCTCTTTGCCTAATTCTTACTCATCTTTTCACACTGAAATCAGGTGGCATTTCTTCCAGGAAGCCTTCCCGGGCACCACTCCCCTCCCAGGCTGGGTTAAGGATCTCTCTTCTGGGGTGCCCTGTGTGTAACTAACACCACACTAAGCACAGGGTCTTCTGATCACCACTTTGTGTCTGTCTCTCCCTCTGGACTGTGAGCCACTTGAAAGCAGGGCAGTGTCTGTCATCTTTACATCCCTACAGCTGTCTGGGTCATGTTTATTGATTGGCTGGCTGGCTGGTTACCAGCCACGAGCCAGTCTCTCTTCTCTGATCTCCACGAGCTTGGAGTTCTGTATAGGAGCCCGAGGCCTGCAGGAGCCTGCAATCCCCAGTGAACGAGACTGAGGAGAGGGGGGCATGGCAGGCCTGTCTTGGTGGGCGCAGTCAAAGCACACACGAGTCTGCTCACTCTCTGTTCTCCCTAGTGGCTCCCAGAGCCTCTGCCCACTACACAGGCGATGTCAGTGCACAATGATGCAGATGGCATCTTGCTCGTCCCAGTCACCAGCCAGGGCACCCAGGGCCCTGCCAGCCAGCTGCTCTCTCCTCACTGCCCCTGCACGGGCTTCACGGCAGGATGGCTGGGAGGTTTGGTGGCAGAATGAGGGGGAGTATGAAAAGCATTACTTTCCTCTTCATGAACCTGGCAGAGAGGGGCTATCAAAGAGGATGGAAGACACAGAAAAGCCATGACACTTCCCCCAGAACCTGGCTGTCCAGCCAAGCCCAGTGTAGGGGAGGGTGGGGAGCCCAGAGGAGGATCTGGGGTACCTGTGCACACAGGAGCAGTGGAGGGTGCTTACAGCTGTAAACAGCTACTTATCGCATGTCTGTGTGCGTTCCAGGATGAGAGCATGTTATGCAGAGGGATATGTGTGTCTGAAGGCGCCATATATGTGTGCACGTGAGCATGGGGAAGTGGGCGTGGGAAATCTCAGCACACGTGCCTGTGTGTGTGCGTGTGTAAGTACCTGCCTGCCTGACGTACACAGGCAGGGGCTATGAGCGCCGAGTGACCCAGAGTCAGGTCTGCCAATTTTCTGAGGATCTGGGGGTATGCAGCCCTCCTGATCGGTAGCCTAAGATGGCGTGTCTGTATGAATGTGAATATGAGTCTGTGTTTGTGCGTATGTGTGTAGCAGGACAGGGCGGGGAAGAAGGTAATATTAGACCAAACAATTCTGGACAGTGCTTAGGACAGGAAGTGGGTGCTGATCCTTGTCCATTTACCCGCCTACTCTGTGGTCGGGCTTGTTTGTACGAGAGGAAGCCTCCTGCCTCCAAGCTCCCAGCCTTTTAACCTAAGCAGGTGTATCACAGCACTGTTATCACTGAAAGAGCTTCCCTTGGGGCTCTTTCTGCTCTTCTGGCTTCATAGTGAATTCACACGGGGAGGGTCTCTTCCTGGCACGGCAAATAAACGTTCTCCAACTGGCAGGACCCTCTCGACTGTGGGGAGGAATCTGGGCTCATATCTAGGCTGAAGGTGGCAGGACACCAAAGCCAGAAGGTCAGCCCAGGAAGGGGTGGGCTCTGTGTGGTTCTCTGGTCCGTAGACCTGCAGCTTTGTGTTCACGAGACAGGTGGGGAGCCGGGAGGGGAGCATCTGTGGTCAGTCTTCACAGCAGAGGGAACTTTTCTGCAGGATGGAGGTGGGATCACCTCGGGACAGCCTCTTCCCACTGCCCAGGTTGAAAGGCCCTCATGATGCCATCAGGTACAAGGTTCAGGGACTCAGGCTATCGCTGCTGCACAGGCGTGAGACCCCACAAGGGTCTCCAAACCCCAGCCCCACTGCTGCCAATGCCTTCCCTGTAGTCCCGAGAGCAGGGAACTCAGGAAATCAGACTCGGAAGCCAGAGCTAGAAGGGGCCTCTTCACTTTGCAAATGGGAGCCTGAGACTGGGTCACATGAGGGAGGGGCTGGGGGTGCAAAGGATGCTCCCAGGTTCCATGAACCCCCTCCAGGGTTCTCTCCCTGGCCTCAGCCCCTCTGCCTTGACTTCTCTGCCCTTCCAGATGCTCAGCAGCAGCAGGGGTCTACGGAGGCCTCCTGCTTTCCACGTGGGCTCCCTGGACCCCTGGGCTCTGGGACAGGGCAGGAACAGGAGGGACCAGAGTTAATGCCTAACTGTTAGGTCCTAAAAAGTCTGCCTTGGTTGTTTACCCCCAGTGTCTGCTCTGATCGATCAGTACTCCTATCAATTATTGCTAAATATTCTGAAGGTCACCTCTGATGGGTTTATGTGTCCTCTAGTGGATTCACATCAGCATCGTTTCCTTTAGCACTTTAGCACAGACACTGCCTCCTCCCAACAAGCTGAGAAGCCCACGAGCTCATCACATCACCTTCTGATCCTCGTAAGCTCTGGGAGGTAGGAAGGCCTGGGTTATCATCCCCTTTGACAGAAAAGGGCACGGAGGTGATCATCACGATTATATGATTTTCCCAAAGCCAGTTACTATCTGATTATGTCAGAATCAAAAGGCAGATTTTCTGATTTCAAACCCAGTGCTTTCCCCAGGACACCAACCTGCCTTTCCCAACCAGAGAGTCATCCCCTGGGGCCTGCCAGAGCAGGTACAGCTGCCCCCGTGCCCCTCCCCATCACACGTGGTGCTTTCGATGGTTACTGTGGCTGGAAGAGGGGCTCCCCTGCTCACCAATGACCGTGAGGGTGCCTGTGGCCTCTGCAGAGCCGAAGGTGTTGGTGACCTCACAAATGTAGGTGCCGCTGTCCTCGGTCCGCAGGTCACTGATGGTCAGCCCCGTGATGCGCTTGGTCCAGCGGCTGTCGGCTGGGAGGGGTCGGCCATCCTTGAGCCAGCGGATGGCAGGGATGGGGTAGCCAGAGGCGGTGCAGGGCAGCTCCACGGTGTGGCCGGCCCACACTTCCTGGGAATGGAAGCCGTCCAGGATGGTGGGGATTGACTCGGCAGGGTCTGGAAGGCAGAGAGCATGAGAGGTCCTGGGCAGCCCTGAGTGGGGGCGGGAAGGCAGGCACCCAGAATTGATGTCTGGAGTGAGTGATACCCAGTGCAGGAGAGCTCACTCTGTTTCCCTGTGCCCCAGACTCTGGGCCCAAATCTCTTTCTCAGGCCAGACGGAGGCCTGAGAAGCACGACTGGGAGCAGGGGCTGGGAGCAGGGAGGATGGCGGGCAGACCAGGCTACAAACACAGACAGATAGAGGGGAAAAGGGAAACAGCAAGAGGCACTGAGAGGGAGAGACTTTCACACAAACAGTCCTGGTGATGTGAGAATCATGACATCCTGGCTTTGTAATTCCTGGCCAGTCTCCATCTGGGACTCAGACTGGACTGGAGGCCCCCATCAGGGATGGGCATCCCTGTTGCATCCTGTCTCCTCCCCCCTGCAATCTGGGCAGGCTCAGAGGAGGCAGTGCCTTTCCATTCCAGAAGGATTCAGGAGGGAAGCCTTCTGCAAAACACACCTGCCACCCCAACAATGCTCCTCTCCTCTGCCTTCCCAAACCAAGAGAAAGCGGTGACTGCGAGGACTGAGGCCCTCCCCTGCAGAAGCCATGGCCTTTGGTGGGATTCTGTGTGCGATGCCTGTGCCACTTCTGAGCAGCATTCTGGCTGCTGCCTCAGTCTAGTTCTAAAAGGCCTCCCTGGATTTTCTGCCCAGTGGGGACCTGCCCCTGCTGTAAAACCGCCATAGGCCCCGTTTACCTACATACACCAATCCACACTGCTTATCCCAAATCAGGCCTCCCGATCAAGATCTGTGATCTTGCCCCTGCCAGGTCCCTGGCCTAGCCTGCCTCCCTCACCTTCTGATCTCACTTCGTCCCCCCTCGTGGCACGCTCTCATTGCACTGTTCTCCACCTGGGTGCCCCGCTAGCCTGCTCTGCTTGGCCAATTCCTGTTGATCTTTCACAAACCAGCTTCAATGTCACCCCTTTGGGATGTCTCCCGCAGCCCACTCTCATTGGACTCCCATAAAATTTCCTTTTTCCTTTCTTTTCAAGCAACCTTTTCTTTTGAAAGGAAAAAAAGTTAAAGGGCAATAGATGCACATGGTCAAACTTCAAAAAGCAGAGATGAGCAGACAGGGAAAAGGATGTACCCCTCACCCCTGCACCCAGCCACCCCATGTCCCTCCCAGAGGCAACCACTGCCGCCTCTTTCCCCGCGGCCCTTGCCGACAACAGTTAGCACCAGGCCTCGTGTCTGTCTGCCCTGGCAGATGGCGAGCTCCTTGAGGCGACGTCCCCCGTGCCTGGCACAGAGTAGGGCTGCTGGACCACTAACATCTGAGGGAGGATGAACAGGGGCAGGAGGGCACGAGGTGGGCCAGTGGTCTGATTTTTCCATTGTGCAGAACGTCATAGGCTCATGGAGTAGCAGAGCTGGCTTAAGGACCTTGGAGAGCACACCCAGATGCAGACCCTGAGACCAGAGAGGTGCAGGACCGGCCCAGAATCACACTGCAGAGCCAAGATCCGAAACCCAGTCCCCCTCTCTCATGTTCACTATGCGGGGGCTGAGACAGAATAATCTAATACTGGACTTCGCTCCAGACGGAATGGAGAGAGCAGCTGACCATCAGTAGGGACCCTCCTTGACTCGTGGGAAATTTCCTCTGTCCTGAGCTCAGCTCCCTGAGAGAGGGGCTGGGCGAGGAATTCTCCCTGCTGGGTAAAGACTTTCTAGAAGACTCTCTGCTCCTTTCCCACCATGCATGGCTTTTCACAAGGAGCCTGGGATGAGAAATCAGGAGACCCAGGTGCAAGTCTGCCTGGATCACAGATAAGCTGTGTGACCTTGGGTGAGTCTTCTGATCTCCCAGAGCCCAAGTTTCCTCCTCTGCATGTGGAGGTGATAACATGCCTCCAGATCTCATAAGGCTGTTGTGGGAACAAAGCAAACTGTATGTCAAAGAGCCCACTGACGCCACACCGCTCCGCAGATGTGCTGGGCGATTACTATTCTGCACCCGCCACGCTCCCTCCCTGCCAGCTTCTGCGGCCTCTTCCCCCCACAACCCTGTGGGAATGGTTGGGATAAACAAATCCAGTGCCAGGGAAGAATTACTCAATGTGACACTTAATTGATGCAAAATACACAAATTCCGTGGCACACCGCAGAATTTACAAGCGGAGGGGCCGACGGGGCGGTGGAGGAAGGGGCGGGGGGAGGGAATTAATCACCGAGTCTCAGGCGTGAAATTAAATTCTGAGGGAAAGAAACCTCTTTCATTACTCCAGAGCAGAAGTAAAATGCTGTGGCGTGTTCGGCGACAGCCTGGGGGGATCGGGTGCCGCCAGGGCCGGTGCAGGGCTAGGGGAGACAGGTGGCCTGGCTCTGGGAAATCTCTGGGGTTCGCTGGGGTAGGTTGGGGCTGAGGCTGGACTGGGCTCAGGGTGGGGGTGGGGGGTGGTCAGGACAGTGCTGTGATGGAAGATGGCTTCTGCACCTGGATCGGCACCCTGTGAGCTGGTGAACCTTGGTCTAGTCTCTCAGCCTGTCTGGTCACTGGTTCCCTTCTTTATAAATGCAGATGATGGTGCCTCTTCCTCTGAGTTAATGCCCATGAAAGCACTTGGTAAACCCTAAAAAGCATCTCAATGCATAGAATGGTTGTTACTAGGTTGTATTTTAGGGGAATATTAGAATATTTTTGTAACTGCCTCCTCTTCTACCTTGGGCAATACAGAAGAATAAAAGTCGATCCCCCTGCCCACCGCTGCCCCTCCCCGAAATGTGCTAGGAATAACAATGCAGCAACAATAGAACAACAGCCACAAGGACCACAACAAGGTCAGCAGTGACGCCCTGCTGAGCGCTTCCTTGGTTTCTGGCCCCACAGGAAGCAGTTTACGTGTGGCATCCTGTTTAATTCTCCCAGCAACCCCAGGAGAGCATGTTGTCGCTCCCATTTTACGAGATGGGGAAGCTGAGGTTTGAAGACATTATTTATTTTATGCCAGGTTCTACAGCTGCTGAGTGGTGGGGCTAAGACTGAAACTTCAACTTGATTCCTAAGTCCGTTTTTCAATACGTCTCATTCCCTTCCACCCTTCGCCTCCCTCTTCCTTAAACACTTGGTAAGGGCTGAGAGGCCCCAAAGGGTAGTTGTTGCCGTCATCCAAGGACCGTCTACAAGGCGATGCCACGGAGATCAACCTGCCCCTTCCTCTTGCCTTTGGGCCTTGGGACAGGAGAGGTGGCCGTCCTTTGAGGGCGTGCTGGGCTCAGGTCTCCTCAGCCACCAGGTGCCTTGGTGGGACCTAGCTCTGCCAGGACATGCAGTGGCATCTCCTTGCCCTTGAATCCAGTGGGTGGCCCAGGAGCTTCTGGCCAGGGCAGGATGATGCTTTTCCCGGCCACCAGCCCTAGGAGTTCACAGGGCTCTGGCCACTAAGGAGTAAGGCATCTCAGCTCAGGACTGACCCCCACCCTTGACTCAGAGTGGATCTGAAAGGTGAGGCTGGGGGCTGAGGCCTGAGCCCCCCAACACGAGCTCCCCTTTGCACTGCCTGCTCGGGTATCAGTTGCATTTTTGCCGAGACAAGCAGCTTGCAGATCGTCTTGTCACATCATATCACATCGCATCAGGGCCGGCGTCACTCCTGGGCCCCTTCCCCTCGGCTCCCCTCCACTTCTTCTGTCTTCTTCTAGGTCTCCTTCACCCTGTCACTGTCATCTTCTCTGTCCTTGTCTCTCTGTTAGGTTTCTGTCTTTCTCTCTCCCCTTTTGTCTGGCTGGGTACCTCCCTATCTCTGCTATCTCTGTTTCTCTATTTGGGCTTTGTCTTTGGGGAGCATCTCCCATCCTCCTCCCACCCAGCGGGGTGTCGGGGGCAATGAGAGCAGAAGGAGAATTGTTGCCATATCCTCCAGTTTAAAGAGTGTTTTTTTTTTTTGAGGCTGGATTGGAAGGCATGGTATTCTGACACCTATCAGTAATTCTTCCTAATACTTCTCAGTATCAGCATTTACATTTGGTTTATATTGGAAGAGCTGCAGGTAAAATACACTAACTTTATCTTAAAAAAAGGTGGAGGTATTCCCTCCAAAGTGGAGGTAAGATTAATAGGATGAAGGGGCTAAATTTCAATTTGGAGGTAAGATTAATAGGATGAAGGGGCTAAATTTCTGTGCAGGGGGAAGGAGCAGGCCTGCAAAGGGCTGGATTTCTGTGCCTTTCCCACATTGTATGAGAGGCATGCAAATGAGATGCAAAACACTACAGAAAGAAGTCTCTATAATTTGGAAGGGAACCACTCTGACACATTTGGGAACTGGGCTGCAGACTGCAAAGTCTAGCCACAAAGATGGGGCCACATGGTGTAGCCCCGTCTCCTCCCCACACGACAGCACAGTTTCCCTGGGCATTGGCTAATTCCACAAATATTTACTTAGCCAGGCTCTCTGATTCCTTGCCCTCCTGGCTCTCACTCTTCTGGACTTGCCTCCAATTAAGAGGGAGTCCTGAATAGAGTCATCTGCTGGTTGGGATAGGTCATCACCAAACCGTAGAATTTCAGAGGTCAACAGAATCTGAGCGGTCACTTAATCTAGTTCCTGTTTCAGAGACCCAGAGAGGCTACATGATATGGTGGGGTTTGTTTCCAAACCCTGGTGTTCTGACTATCAGTCTACCTTCCCTCCCAAAGCCACTCCAATTCCAAGTCCTCAAGAGCAGAGATTTTCAAATTGCAGGTCACAAACTGTTAGGAAGTTATGAAATCCATTTGGTGAGTTGCAACCAGCATTTAGAGAAATTGAAATGGGACAGAACAGAATAAAAAATATCAGAGTGCATTGCAATGCACGAGGTAGGAAACACCAGCGTGCACTGCATAGGTTATGATGTCTGTGGATCGCTGTCAGGAGTTTAAAAAGCGCTACTGCAGAATGCTTTCCCTGAAGAGCGCCAAGTGCCCTTCCCTGCTCTGGACTGGGGTGTGTGTGTGGTGTTCAATTAGCCCCTTCCATGGGGGCCTACAGCTGGAGGACACTGGGGGCTCAGAGTGTGAATTCTGGTTGTGCCTCCCACTGATTAAACAGTTGGGGCAAGTTGCTTGGCTTCACTGAGTTTTCTCACCCAAAGAAATAGGGAGTGCAGTGGACACCTCACCCTATTATGGTGCCTAAGAGCACGTGAGTGAAATTTTTGGCACACAGCAGGATTCAGTAAATATCAGCTTCTATCCTTCCATAGAAGCTACAATCACTCCAGAATAAAAATCCTTTATTTAATTTAGAAATATATTTTTACCCATTATTTGTCTACTTTCAAATGTTGTGAGGTGGGCTATAATAACAGATATATACGTATTCATAAATAGATAAAATTGAATCTTAAAGAACACTTAGAGACACCAGGAAATATAAGATCTCTCTAATCAAATCAAAAAATCAAAGCAAACCAAATCAAACTGAATCACTGCTATGTTTGAGCAACAGATTTTATCTATGGGCTTCCTGGCAACAGAGGCAAAAAAGAGAGGATATATCAGTTCTTCAGGAGAGTCAAGCTTCTCAGGTACAGACTTCTGAAAAGAATTCATCTGTAGAGTCCTTATCTGAAGGACACCCAAAACCAAACCAGACAAGGTCTGCCCCAGTGGTTTCTGTACCTGTGTTCTTTAATCTTCTTTTCGGCATCCCCTAAGTACAGAGCCGACTCCCTGGTCCACGGTGCAGACATGCCCGCCCCGTCTCAGGGGCGGGCTGGCGCCCTCCCTCCGCAGCCCTCTCACCTACCTGTCACGGAGAGGCGGGCTCCGTTGCTCTGCCGGGTCTCCCCACTGTACTTGTGCTTGGTGATGCAGCGGTAGGTGGAGAGGGCGTCCTCCTTCTGCACGTCAGAGATGTACAGCCCGCCGTGGGAAGTAATAAAAAACCTGTTTTCTGGAGACATAATCAGGACACAGTTCATTACTCCCCTGGCTGGGCACACCCCCAGACACAACTCAGACCTGCAGCTGGCCTTCTCTCAGCCCAGGATTGTTGCCCAGGGGAGGGGAGGTGATGGGGAAAGCAAGGGGGTGAAGTTGGTGCAGCCCCAAAGGCAGGGGAGCGTCTCTAGTAGATGAGGATTTTCTATGTGCAAACAGATAGATATTACGGTAATTATCCTTTAAGTGCAGATGCTTCAGCATTTTATGGGAAGGTGTGGGGCTTGAGAGTCAGACCCGAGATCTGGGTTCCAATGTGATTCTTTCACTTATTAGCTGTGTGACCTTGGGAAATTTACTTAACCTCTCTGAGCCTTATTGGTGTAACAGGGAGCAAATAACACTTCCTGGAGTGGATGTAATGAAAAAAATAATGAAGTATCTGGCACACAGTAAGTGCTCACTTAGTGAATATTAGTCCTCATCTTTCCTATCTCTTTGCAAGAGCTTGCAAAGCTTTAACATTCATTGCTTGTTGTTCTTACAACTGTTAGAAGTGTTGTCTCCATTTTTAAGTCACATAGTCGGTAAGTAGATCAGAGTTCAGGCCTTCCGGCTCCCAGCTCTCCCCTTGCATTGAGCCAAACACAAGCCTATATCCTTTTCTGTTAATCTGCATTCCTATTCACCCCAGAAACAGTTATTGAGGCTAAGCCGCACCAGGAGTGCGGGTGTGACAATGCAGATTTGAGATACTAATTCATCATACAGTTCTTAAAACCATTTTGTGCAAGGCAAAGGTGCCGGCTACTTTCCCTGCCCTCTCCACAGTCTCACTGCCAGGACTCATAGAGACGGGGAAAGGACAGAGTATACCCATTTGGCTGATTAGAAGACTCCACTCCGAGGTAGAGTGGGTTTTCTTGTCCAAGGTCTAAGGCAAACTCTGAATTAATCAGGACTGATCTTAAAAGGGGAGAATGTGGACCTGAGAGTTGGGGAGAGGCTTGCCTTTGGCTTTGGGACTCTCTAAGCTCATGGCCTCCCTCTCAAGACCCAGCCAGGAGGAGGCTGAGAAGCTAACCTTGAGTCCCTCTGCCTGCTCTCTAGGGGCGGGGTGACCCCCCCCCCCACCGTGGCCACAGAAGACCTCAGGCTGCCATTCCCAGCAGAGGGGGCATCAGAATCAGGACAGTGATAATGACTTGCAAGAAAGCTGCTGGGGACGGGGTAAGGATGACCTCACAAGAAGGACCTGCTAACACTGGACTGTCAGGCTTTCATAGGGAAATGTTTTGCGGTAGCCCATGCCCTTCAAATTGTATTATTTAGAGGTCTGCTTCCTCCCACCTGGGGGTTGAACGAGCCCTCTCAACCACTGACAAGCGCTCTGACCACCCCTCCAAGCACAAGTTCAAGACCTCAGCACCTGCAGACAGGGACTTCATCAAAGCAGACTTTCCAACAACGAACGCTGTAGAATTGCAGGGCTGAAAGCTGCATGTGCTTGACCACATCTTTGACAAAGCTTGTCCGGCCTTTATTTGAATACCTCCAGGGTGGGGAACTCACTACTGCAATCAGTGGCCCATTCCAAAGTCGACAGCTCTGACTTTTAGAGAGATCTTCCTTGGTCACATTGGTCTCTTGTGTCTCTCTCCATGGAGAGATACTATGTTCTACTCATTGGACCCCTACAGAACCAACCTAAATCCATGTTACACTGCCTCACGAACCACAAGGCAGCTGGCATGCCGTTTGATGTTTCTTCAGGCTAAGCAGTCTTAGGATTATAGTTTTTAATAGTTACTTAGTATGGTTTCAAATAACTTCATTAATCTGGTTGGTCTCCTGTCTTCTTAATAAACTTTGATTTACCTACAAATCTCCGAATTTTCCCTCTCTCCCTCCCTCCCTCCCTCTCTCCTTCCCCTCCTCCCTCCCTCCCGCCCTCCCTCCCATGTATCTTCGTACAGGACTAAACCTACTATGTGCCAAGCACTTTGCCAAGTGGTGGGGATCAGCTTATCTGACCAGGGTGGAGGAGAGCCGGGGTACCAGCCAGCAGCCTCAGCTGCATTAACTTTCTAGGGGTAATGGAGTGGGAGTGGGAGGCAGCCCCATTACACCACTGCTTCTTACTCTGCTTGTCCTTAGCTAAAGGCCCTGGTCGTGTGTCTGTGAGCTGCTGCTAGGCCACTTTCTTGCTCTCCACCCTTGGACACCTGGCCAGGTCTGGGACTTCACATGGATCCCTATTGAGTGGCATTTTGTTGAGGTCTCCCTACATGGACACTTGGCCAGCTGGTAGCCTGCTTGGAGCTTCTGGACCCCCTCCCTGCCCCCTCCAACACACAGACCACACCCTGTAGACCCCCACTCAGTGCTGTGGGTAAAAGATGAAAAGGAAGCAGGAGGGAGCCAGGCACCACTGCCAGCAGTCAGAAGATCCACAGGAAGTGCAGAGAAAGCCTGGCTCCCCAGCCTGATTCTGCATGTGCCGTTTTGTCTCCATGTTGTGACATCGCAAAGTCAAAGGCGGAAGCTCTGTCGTCATTTATTATGTAACTGGGACTGGAATGCAGAACTACTGGAGGGTGTTGCTGCCAGTCAGAGGTACCAGGGTTGGAGGTGGTGGTGGTGGTGGTAGTGGTGGGATAACGAAAAGCAAGAAAATCCCTAAAATCAACCCTAGCAACCACAAGTGCTCCGGCCTGGACAGGGAGGACCATGTTATCCCCAGGACGATGACAATGGTGTTGACAATGATGTGCTTGGCCCTCAGGAATTTTAAGCTGGGGAGGGGTGCTGCAGTGATGGTGGTGGGGAGCTGGGGTTTCTATAGCAACAAGCAGCTGCTGCATCTGATGTTTCACATCCTTCATTGTCCTCATTTCCCCCCTCCCTTCCCCCTTCTTGTGCATATTTAATTGCAGTAACATTTCCAGATACAGTGTATCGCTCTTCCTGAAACAAAGGCGGGCCACAGCCAGGGGGATGCAGAGCAAGCAAGAGGGGAAGGAGAAATCAGGGGTATTATGTTAATCCCCACTGGGGGGGACTTGTGCAACATCAGTTCTGCATGTTTGATGAGAATCAGATGATGGGCCCTGCTGGGGAAGGAAGGAGAATGGGGCCTGTGGAGTGAGCGGTGTACCGTATAGAGAGAGGAGGAGGCACAGCCATTTGGTGGGGGGTTCAGAGGGACTGGGGCTCCAAACACGGCTGGCCTCCAAAGCTGGCTCCAAAGGGGTGCCCTGGCAGTCTGGCAGCCCAAATGGGACCAGCCGTCTAGGACTGGGTAGAGGAGCCGATATCCCGTATCTTGGCTCCTCCTCCTTGGGGTAGGCTGTGTCCAGCTGCAGGAAGGGCAGAGTGGCGGCCAAGACCATCGTGTCTAGCCCCCATTCTGAAGGCCATTTGGACATGTGTGTCCGGGATCATTTTTGGTTGACTCTACACCTGGGGGGCACTAATGGCATTTAGCGGTCAGCTTAGAGTAACAACAATGTTCCAATCCCAAATGCCAGTTGCGTCCCTACAGGTATCCACTGGAGGGTCACTTTCCCCTGGGCTCTAGGAGTGGGACACGGAACTGTGTCTAAACGTGGACTCTGCCACTGGTGCTGCTTGACTGTTACCTCAAAGTCTGCGGTGTCATCTGTGAGCACGCCGATGACCAGGGAAGCGCTGTGCGTGGTTAATCAATCCTTTCCTTCTTTTTATTATTACTCGCACACGCCAGCTTCCCTAGCCTTTCCCCTGCTGATCTGGAGCAGGCCTCTCCTTTTCGTAAAGCTCAATATTTATTGAGCACCTATTACATGTTAGGCCAAAGGCTTTATAAACAGTATCCCATTTACTCCCCACACTGCTTTGAAATGGATATTACTGTTACTACTAACCAAAGCACAGAGAGGTTGAATAATCCACCCACAGTCACACAGCTGATAAGTGGTAGAGCCTGGACCATTAGTCTACTTCCAATGCTCCTCCAAAGCTCTGTGCTAGGCTGACTCTCCTAGAATAACAGCACCTCTTATGGGGACACACATCCAGCCAGCCTCTGCTTGGTAGCTTCTGTCAGTGGGGTCCTCACCTCCTCATGAAGGAGCATTCATCCATTCAATTCAGTTTGGCTCAATTTAAAGTCTTTATGAAGCATCTCTAGGTACCAGAAAGGGCTCCACGGAGAAGTCTTGAACTTGGTCTCTGCTCTCTGGGATTCCACAGTTAGAAGGCAATATCCTTCTACCAGGAAAGGTTTGGCCTTAAGTGCTGGGGGCTAGTGAAGGATGAGGAGGGAGCTCAATGGAAGCCATTAGTGAGAAGACGAGGATTAAAAGGGGCCAAGCCACCCCGCGGTGGAGGATAAGCCCAGTCCTGGAACTTAGGAGACTTGAGTTGGAGCCCTAGCTTGGCCACTAATGATGGGGTATACACTGGGTTAGTGTCTCTTCCAAATTAATGTTGACCCAGAACTTGTGAATGCAAATAAAATCAAGTTAAAATGAGGCCATACTGGCTTAGGTTAGATCCTAAATCCAGTAGGACTGGTGTCCTTAGAAGAAGAGGGAAATTTGGACACAGGTGCACACACAGGGCGGGTGCCATGTCAAGACAGAGGCACAGATTGGAGTGATGCACCTACGAGCAAAGAAAAGTCAAAGATGTCCAGTGACCCCAGAAGCTAGGTGCGAAGCAAGGGAGGACCCTCCCCTAGAGTCTGCAGAGGGAGCGCGCCCGGCCCACACCTTGATTTTGGACTTCTGGCCTCCACAGCTGGGACACAAGGAATCTCTGTTGCTTTAAGCCACCCAGTTTGCAGTAATTTGTTAATGCGGCCCTGGGAAACTGATAACAGGGTGACCTTAGGGAAGTCCAGTCCTCTCTGACCCTCAATTTTTCCGTCTGTATAAAGAGGGAAGAGCTGGAGTAGGTGTGTGTTTTTAACTGTTTGTACATTAGAGTCATCTAAGGAGCTTTTAGAATTAAACTCAGAATCTCTGGGGG